AGGACTTTTGAATGGTACAATTCTTTTAAATAAATATTCACACTAAAGTTTGTTAAAATCTATCCATTAGTTTTCAGAAATTTCACTAATGTGCAAAGAAAGAATACAAAACGAATAGATAACGAAATTAAGAATCGTATAGATTTAGATGAATTAGAACATGAATTTATTCATTAATGAATAAAATGAAAGAAATGATTCCTTGAATAATTTTACAGATTGTATAATCGGTATGTAAAGTAGCAAGCATGGAAAACGGAAAGCAGTTAATTACAAAACAATGATGAGATACATATTTAAAATATGCATCTTGACAATTAAGTTGTGTCTTTGACTTGATTGCCTGCTCGCAGCGTTTTGTTAGAGCCGGTGAATGTTGGTACTTTAATTCCAGTATAATTCCAGCCAACAGTGCAATAGGCTGATTACAACCAATTTCCATTACTTACTTGTCATTTCCTATTGTTTGTTTGATTGAATATGACAAAGTGCAGGAGAGCTATCCCTTTAAGAAACATCATGCTTTCATTGGATATGTTTTAAAGCTTGGTTTATTTTATTAGGTGAGAGTACCTCGAGGATTATCTGCTTAAGGGAAGGGATGAGTTCGTTGAGAACTTGATAAGGGAGATTGGATCGTACGGCACATTACACACGGTGGAATCCTCGAAAACGCCATGGAGCCAGCCTGTTGGCAGGGATTCGAACTACCAATGTTTAGCGACTTTAATCGCTCGGCCGCTGGTAGGCCGATATTCTAAGGGAGCCTGTCTCATACTTACATTTCACAACCACCTACCCTTGAGAAGCAATACTTGAACGTGTCTCTCCATAAGCACACAGCCTTTGAATGCTTTTCCAAATTTGAGAATCAATATTGGACTTCTTAAAGTACAAGTCTAATGTTCTAATGTTACCTGCTATTTAACAATCATACCTTCTGATGCTGGTTTATGTATTTTGCTTCATTTATTAGTAACTTGCAAAATCTCAAGAATTTTATTTAGTTGTATGCAAAATTCTCCTAAATTATCGTTCCTAAAAGAAGAATTTTTACAACATGACACCTGCTGTTTCGAAAAATTTTATGCGCGAAACAATCCATAAGCATTCATATCTAAATATATATTTTCCTAGAATATATCAAGTAATTATAATTAGCACATTATAATATCTATATTTCACTTTAATTCTTAAATATTAGTAAGAAGCCTGTTTAATGCAAATAGTAACTTATAATGATAAAATTTTCAATTAACTGGGAAATAAAATAGGGAGATAAAGCAAGTATTCATTTGGAAAAATCTGTAGATTAGATATTAATGCATTGATTGAGTTTGCTGCTCTGTAACTATGCATGTATAAGTTTGTATTAAAGCCGAAAAAAGCACAAATGTATTTTTTAAGTCTCATTTTAGAACTGCTAACTTCTTTCGTATTTGCCCGATCTTAGATGGAGGAAAAGAAAATGGATCTTTATTTTCTTAAAGGTTTCTTTCTTTGTAAATCTTTCTTTCGATTGCAAATGTAATGCTGAGATTTCATGTCAATTTTTCTTTAAAGGCGTCAGTTGTAACTTCTCCGTTTTGTGTTTGCATAATCATTCGAACTCAACAGTCTTATATCAATCTTATGTTTTGAAGATGATTATATGTAATTATAAAACTCGGATCCTTGAGCATTTTTAACGAAATATTGTATTTATTCATGATAAACGGACTTTGACATCATATGCGAGATATTTATTCACATGGAAAATTAACTTTATAAATGAAGCATGATTGTAACATTTTAAAGATTGCTGGTTTGATTGAGAATCGCAGACCTTGTCAGATGTAAACGACCATGCTGCTGGTATGTCCCCCAAACAGTTGACTTACCCAAAGCAGTCGAGTACATCTAGTATCAACTTGACGTCTTTTACATTAGAAGTGCTTTTTCAAACTGTATGAAACTATTTCAATTGTAGCTTCAGAAAAAGCACTTAGAAAAAGAAGATATTACACGTGTTTGAAATACTGAATCTGTTTTTACGACGATAATGGCCATCAGATGTTGGAACAAGAAACTGTAATTTAAGATATTATAGTCATTGAAAATGAGAAATGGAACACAATGCGTCTGAACCTGAACCTTTAGGGCCTAACGGGCTGAGCAGGCTGATGTATGGGAATGGGTTTTATTTTTCATCTTTCTTTATTTCGAACATATTTTTGAATTTTCTTTCCAACAAGTCAGATATTTATTTTCTTTCAGGAGGTTTACTTTAATTTAAAGAACTTCCGAAGTTTCACAGTATCATTTTCTTTTCTAGATAAGCAGACGTTCAAAGGAGTATAAATTATGCTTAAAAAATTTTATGACCTCAATATTTAACTAGGATTTAATTTTTTATGAAGTAACTAAAACATGCAGTTAAAACCTGATTTAACTAAAAGAGTGGGAGAAAAATGACGTTGAATCATAGACATCAATAACGAGTTATCTGTAAATATTTTGAATTATTTTTTTTTCTTGTTTCGTCTTTACAATTGAATACAAATCTTATAATAAAAACAAGCTACCTCAGAATGTTTCAAGGGAAAAAATAATTGTAAAATATCTTTTTTCAAGAAATGTCTTTATATCTACTTATTATTATCTATTTGTCAAATATCTGTCTTTTTTACTAACAGATTATATCAGTTTTAGTCTACTCCGTGCTAAATGCTTCCCGATAAGCAAATAAATAAAAAGGGGCAGACATTTCATTAAATCTTAAAATTAAACCTTAAAAAAAAGTTTTATTCTTTCATTTTTGCCATTCTTTGAGAAAATCTATTAGTAATTTAACGTTCATGTAAATAATATAATAATGAATCATGTAAATAAAGAGAATAATGAAATCTCTTTAATAATGATATAAATGATTATAAATGATTTAGTAATTTTTCTACGTTATTTCTCATTAATTATATTTTTTTATAAATATTCAAGCAGTTAATCTACAGATTTCTTAACACTATATAATATTTTTCTAATTTCATCTCTAGGCCCACCAGCGGCTGAGCGGTAACATCGCTGAACATTGGTAGTTCGGTCCGAGGTTCGAATCCCGCGAACGGGCTGGCTGCATGGGCGTTTTCGTGGTTTTCCCCATGTGTAACGTGTATACGAGCCAGTTTCCCTTAGAAAGTGCCTCCACGAAGGCATCCCTCCTCTTAGGCAGATAGCCCTCGAGGCTTTGCCATAATCACACACACATACACACTAATTTCATCTCTGGGATATTACTTCAACAATTTTTAAGAAAGGATTATAATCAAAATGTTTTTCTCGGTATTTGAAATGCATAATAATTATTTTGTGTATATCTTTTAGATAAAAGCAAGTTTATGCGGGAATTCTGATTTTTATTTAGCATAAAATTAATTTGAAAGAAAGATCGGAAATCATCTTAAAAAAACAATTTTGAATGATAACGAGTCTGAACTATTAAGCAGAGAAACAAAAAGAGGAAAAGAATAATCAGCTGCTGAAATAAACTTCACAGTAACGTGAAAATGGTATTGGCATAGGAATAATGAATGGCAGAGTCCAATACTGGACATGAGAACGCTTCCATAAGTGAGATTTAAACGGAAAGCATTTTATTGTAATACTACAGGTACAAAAGCAAAAGAAATTGTTTCGTTGTGTCAAATTGCCTTATTTTTGTTAAATGTTAAAGATGAACCTACTATACCAGCTAGTTTATTGTCATCAAACGACAAGGCTACTTTGTTGCTTATAAGTTTTTAGATTAAGAAAATGGAAAAGCGCTCTTTATTTAAATATGCAAATACGCAAATTTATTATAACAAAGGTATGTAAATGCACTGCTATACATATTTTTGCTCAACTAATTTATGGAAATAAATTAGCAAAAATTGCCCAAATTATCTTTAACTGCCAAAAATATTTTCTATGAATAATCCAAAAATCTGTATAATCCATAATGACTCTATTGTTTTAGTTCAGACAAATGGGGTCCTTGTATAGTCCGTCCAGGGCCATGCCTACGGCACGTAATGTTAGACAGTCCCACTTTAGGTAAACTGGGAATAAAGGATCATGCCCTATAACAATAGTATATGGATTCACTCATATGCAATCTTGGATGGATTCTCTGTGTTTTTCCCGGCAGTTAAACGAACTGCTCAACTTAATAGGCGAGGTCAATTTTTTTTTTTTTTTTGTGGTGAAAAGACTGAAAGATTTTTCTTTCTTCTTACAGCGTCCCTTCGTGGAATCATGTCCAGCCAGCAATCGGAATACCCGTATTTCGAGTCCTGGCAAAAGTACTGCGGATTTCTTTAGTTTCTTGACATCGAAAAATTATAAATGGTTTCTACAAGTGGCAGCCAAACTAAAAGGTGGTGGATGATAATTTGTCACCACCAGGATTTGGTGATTATGTCCACCCCTACCGACGTGCCCTTTCAGTGGGATAGAATATAAGGTATTTCTCCACCCTTATTGCATGCCTTCGAGTTGTAACTGGAAAGTACGTAATGGGAAGGTCAGGTGTGCATGTCCTGGCGAGGAACTATCTGATTTTTCCTGCTTTGAAATAACCTAATAACACTACAATTGTACCTAAAACTGCGATGTGCTGAACAGAAGATTTCAGATTATCCCAGAACAATTAATTCGAATGAACGGACATCGAAATCGCTGACTAAAAATGTGAGACAAAAATATATAAGCACCACTCAGCAAAAAAATGAGAGAAAAATATATAAGCAGCGCTCAGAATTTTGCTGACATCCATAAGACTAACCTCGTATATATGTAAGATAAGAACGTGAGATATGATATTAAGACGAAAGCGCAAATGATAGATGTTTGAGTGTCACATCAGCAACAGTATTTCACAAAAATGTAATGTAAGAATTTACACTATAATGCATTTACACTGTAAAACTGGTGATTAAAATGGTATGTTATCAATTTATATGGTAAAGAGTAAAAATTCTTACTCTTAGATGCATTGCAACTCTGCGTAGAATGTTTCCTCTGCTGTTTGCACTTGTATCTATTTCTTCGACCATCTGTTCAATGGTTACCACTCGGGATGAAAATGTTGCCCTAGTGCGAGAACTGGGATTCGGAAGTCCGTTTTCCAAGACTTCCAAGTCTTCTGAAGGACTTTCTCGGGATGGGACGGATAAATTTCTCGATGAGGTGCTTGGTTGAATTTGTTGCTGCGTTCTGATAGAGCATTTTGCTTGTGGTCGGATTCTGGGAAAGAGAATACATGCATATAATATGAAGTGTACATTTTATATTAAAATATTGTTTAAACTGTAAAATAATGGGACTCACGTTCTTAAAATTTAAATGTTTTACTTATAACTTTATACTGTATTTGAAACCCCCTTCGTTTGATAATATGCAATGTTTGCATTTCATATTTGAAATTCACTTCCCGAACAACTGTTTAATTGTTGTTGTGTATACCAGAGTCGTACCCAGATACTTTTTCGCCTGAGACAAAGATGTAAATGCGCGTCTCTATATACAGTGAAATAAACTATATCTATACTCATTTATATTCAATAAAGATAACTATATGAAATCATACCATAATTCTTTTAATATTTTTAATAATAACTTCATGTATTCAGAAAATTAATAAGCATAATAATTTACAATTTTCAAATGAAAACGTTAAAAATTACTTTTTACATAAAGTGCAAATAATATTATATTTCTGATGGAATATTTGAAGCGTTTTCATCATCTGGATATTTAAATGCTAAGTTGCTCATTTTCAAACGCTCAAATCACTTTAATATTTCATGAGTTAGAAACTGGAAATTGGAAGTAATCTCGTTTATTTTTTGTTATCACTATTTTAGTTCTGTAATTAAATATCTCTCATTTCATTCCCTTTTAGTATGAAAAAGTATTTTTATGACAATATTAATTTATTTATCAGCAGATTATCGACAATTTGTGTAAACATTTCGTTTTCCCTTCTTTTCATGTTTTGTTGATATATTTACCTTTAAAGTTGAATTTTTCATATTTCACAAGAATGCTTTCTCTCATCTTTTGTATTTTTTGCACAAGAATGTTTTTTTCTCATTTTTCATATATGTAGTGAGTGTTTTGTTCAAAAACAAATGATATTCTCCGCATTTCTAATATTTTATCGTGTTTTTCAGATGACGTTTTAGTTGTGCGCTTATTTCACTTCTCTCTTACGATAAATTGATTCGAAATTTGCTGAGAAATTTTAATTTTCATTAAATTGCGATTGTATGTTATTTCCCTTTTTTCATTTAGAATTATTGTCTTCTCATTTCTCGTTTTCTTTTTATTAGAATGAATTCCTACAAGTTCTGAAGCGCATGTTACCTAGATAGCTGATTACTTTGGTAAAAATATCCTCAAAAAATTAATGAACAAATAGGTTTTCTTTACATGTCGTTGAAACGAAGCAAAGGTATCAGAAAAAAGATCACAAAAGCAATAAAATTTATAAAAAAGACGTGTCAAGGAATCCTATAAAATGCTAGTTGACTTAAATATAAAGCAAAATAACTCGAGAAGTTCGTAAACACTCTTTTGTTTAGCAAAAACAGTATTTTTTTGATTCTAAGGTTTGCTTTTGTTTTTTCTTGCAAGGATTGCGAAAAACGGGATGCGTCTTAGAATTGCGGTATCTTATAATCACAGATTTCTTTCGAATTCTAGGGTATTACGAAGTAATAAATTGCCTAAGTTAATAATTTGGTTAGACATAATCTTTGTGTTAAAAAAGTCGATTAATATAGTACATATTTGGTAAATGTACTTTCTAGATTTCTTTGCTAGATGAACTGTTTTGATTCATGCATATTGCATATTGCATATTGTTTGATATGCCCAAAATCAGTCTTTTTGTTTTGTACTGAAGTAAAGAGTGTGTCTCAGAATTTAAGAAATACAATGATACAGATTATAACACAATGCATTTGTGACAAATCATAGCATTTATTATGTTTGTACTGTAGAAGTTGATATACCCTGTGCTCCGAATAAATTATGCATATTGTTAATTTATTTCAGCGTTTTCCGTTCTGTCTTTAGTTGAAGTAGTATAAAAAGATAATACAACACATTTTAAATAAAGACTTATTAAATAAAATTACTCAGATAAATTTTCTCAGCATGCAAATTAGCCTAGTGTTCGATGAATTTGTAGCATTGAGAATCCAGAATATTAGGATAATGCAATAATTTCCCTTTGATCACAGCTAATATTCTTCTGGACGTGGACTCATAAAAGTGCTGATATCATTTCTGAAGATATTATCATGCCCTTATATGATGCCAGTGATCTTTCCACTTCGCCTCGCAAGCGTTCAATAGAATTGAAGTCACGGGACTAAGCTAACCATGGGAGAAATTTGAACTCAAAATCATGCTCTTTGAACCAATCTGAAGCCAAACGTGTACGGTGACAATGCGCATTTTTAACTGAAAATGACCATTTGCGTCATGGCACAGCGCAGGCATAAATGATAGTACGTGACCGGAAACGATAATGAAGTTAGTTGCAGTGTTAAAAGTTGTTTCCACACACATCAAGGTATACACTACACAAAGCAAGACAATATTCACCAGATTATAATTCTATTGCCCTAGCTTGAAGAGTTGCAGCAAGATAAACAAAATTCATCCTGTTTACTTCCTATTCTAAAGTAGTCATATATCAGAAATCGATATTTATCAGCGAAGACAATTTTTTTAAAAATCATTGGGGGTCCAGTTTTAGAGTTCTTGGTGTGAGGACAAGCCTCGCATTGTCAATTTCGATATTTAATCGATATCGAAGCAGTGACTTTTAGTATAAAAGAAGACGTCTGGCTAGTTTTTCCTTCTCTTGAATGCGAGCAAGACAGGCTAGGGGGCATTATTAAGTCTTCCCTCTTGCTGCGTGTGGCAGATGAAGCATCGAGATTTTTCTTCTCTGTTTATCGTGTGCAAGAATGCTAAGACGTTTTCATTATTACTAAGTAGTAATTATTACTAAGTAGCTACAAGTAAGAAATAGGAAATTCTGTTGCAACATGCAGTTTCACTTAATGTCACTCTACAGTGTAACGTGTAGGTAGTTATTTTTCATCCTTTATTTGTATTATTGCATCAAAAAAACGCAACGAAATCTTTCCGCCTAAACATCTTTATTTATTGTGGCACAATTAACTGAAATATGGTTCAGATTTAAGCATATTTTACTACACACGAGACCGCAACAGAACAGTACAGACAGCCTTGGTGATCTCGCGTTTTTAAAACTCATCCATTGTAAAAGTCCTTTGCCCTATGTGTTCGGTTGAGATTTGGGATACACCTGAATTGCAGTGAGTATTACAGGCACTGAAAAATCACATCCATACATTGCAGACCTGACTCGTGAGATGGAAATTTGAAATTAAGGTGGATAAATCCAGAGTAATTACCTTCACCAAGAAAAAGAAATCACTTACAGTCTTATCATGTATGAAACAACTAAGTGAGTCATTTATCTCGGGATGATCCTCGACTGTAATCTTCATGGTCCCCACATATATACTCTATTATTCAGAAGTTCTGGGCAGATAAAGCAAAACTCTACCCGTTAAGTGTCTGGAACAGTGCTTTATCTATTAACAACAACTCATGTACAAAACTATCTTGTACTCATGTGCTCAAATCATTACATGTACAGAACCCTTTTGCATCCCATGCTTTGTTACGCGTACCTAGTTTGTGTATCTTGTTGCCGTACCAATCACAAACAGTTACAAAAGGCTCAGAATTGCATCCTGAAACAAATATATGGCTGCCAAGGTAATGGTACTCTGGGTATTTTATGTTTTAAACATCTTATGTCGCTATGATATGCTGTGGATGGATGCCGGTCCCGGAATACACCTGATTAGTCTTTGAAAGCTGTCCCGGTGTCCGGCCCTGCTGTCACCTGTGACTTGCCTATGGTACTTCAGAAATAATAAAATTCATGAGCAATTGGGTATTCAAGATGAACCAGCTACACGCTCAGTATCCTTTTATAGCATACAAAATTTTCATTTAAGCCTAAGGAAAAGTAACAACAGCATTCTCCCATTACATAATTACAACTACTGCTCTCCATAAACTGTCAACGGACTAAGGACATTCTAAAAGATCTAATGTAGATGCCATGTTACTTACATAATTGTTTAATGTTTATCTTTCTATAATAATGCGTTTTTAGGTTGCTTATTCTGATCCCATTTGACTTATATGCTCGTGCTATTTTATTCCTTCTTCAAGAGTTCCCCCCGTATACCAATTATATTGATCTTTAAATATTTGTCATCTTATTGCTCTCCTGTTGTTACTAAAGGCCATATTCCAATTTTTTCCATCAGAATTTTCCGACCACAATTGTTCTTATTGCCTGAAGTACTTTTGCTCAACTACTATTCTGTAAACATCCGAGGTATGTTACTAAACGAAAGCCTGGAAAGCTTAGAATAGTAGCCGTTTCAGAAATGCTGGTAACGCGTCGCTACGATCATTACTCGTTCGAAATCTTTCATCTTATCTATTTTTATACTACTCGCAATGATAACTAAATCTTTTGAAGATAAGTGTGCTTTATATAAGCAACTTTTGGATCTTATGCCACTGTATATCATTGGGATACTGATTATGCTAAAAAGATGAGTCTCTAAAATTTTGGTCACTCAATGCAAACGTTAATGGGAAAACAGTAACATGTTGCATACAGGCCATCTGATTGTATTCTAATACGGGGGGGGGGTCATCGTTTAACTATTAAACATTGTTCAACTTAAGAAAATTTATTTAGTTTGATTAACATTTAATTTTTAGTTAAAGCAACTTTCCTTTCAGTTTCGTTTTTACCCATACTTTCCTGCTAAAATGCTAATCAGATAGCGTGCGTGTATTCAAATTAAGGTAGAAAGACGTGCTACTTCAGCGAAGGTTTCGGAAGATGGTTTTAGAGAGTGTTATGCCTGCTTGAAGGCTACATTGTTATCTGAATTACTAGCGATGTGATACTGTTGCGTTGAGTGCTCCTAGCACTAATAGCTTCTAGACTTGTCACCGCTGGCTTCTACAAGTCAGAACCTTCCTGCGGGTTAAATTACCTCGCAGGCCGTTAGGCTAGTTTAATTATATTTAATTTTAAGTTCAACATTACCTATTTGAGTTAAGGCAGAGGTGCTAACTTTATTTAAGCCCAAATGGGCCATCTGTTTCACTATAGGTGATTGAATAAAGGGTTCTTTACCCCCTACTTCTGACTTTTCTGTTGTGTTAAAGATGCGAGGCTAATTCCTCATACACTCTTTTGAGAGCTCGCTTTTTTATGTTACTGAAAATACGAGACTGCATACTGGCGCTCGAACAATAAGGAGAACTATGTCACAGAAAACTTCACCATTCAGCGTTATTCTCTTCACAATCCCTCTCGGTCACAGTGAATCCCATTGAGGGATTAAGATTTATTGTCGACAACCTTAGAGTTGCTATGAAACCAACAACAACTTTTGATAGAAAGTGGTATAAATGTATCGATAAATTTGTCTTGGGGAGCTTGGTAGCGAAAGCTACAACTTCGAGAACTTGAAGCAGGCATTAATTAAAGCGTTCCCCATCGTAAAGGATCGAGTTCGAGTCGGAGCTATTCAGTAAATTTCAGTATAAAATCGAGGGTTTGGAGGACTTTATCTTGCAAAAAATCCAAAATTTTAATTTGCTGTACGGCAAGAGGCCGGACGATGAAATAATTCAAATAAGATTACCACGAATACTGTCCCAAGTGCAGGACTATTTCGAGCTATGAAATCCATCAATGCTGGAGAGCTTAATCGAATTAGCCACGATGTTCCAAAATCGAAGCGTGGCAGAAAAAAATCAAATAGCAGGATACGGTGAGAGGCTAAAGAAGAAAAGTTTTAGGCCAACGCCTCAGCAAAAACCGCAGTTTGGGCCGAAGAAAAAATTCGAAAAGAGAGAAAAAATTAAAGTGCGATTAGAGCTAGCAGAAAAGAAGTAAACAAAAAGCTGGGGGATAAGTTAAATTAAAGAGGGGTACTGGCAAGAGGGTACAGTCACTCCAGAATAAGGAAAATCCCTCGAAAATTAAATTAAATACTGTAGTAATAAGAAATTTAGAACTGGCAATTGTACAAGCTTTGTTAAATAATATCACTGCTGAAGCTTTCATTAATACCGGAGATCAGTGCAGTTTCATTTCGGAAACCTTCTTCAGAAAATACTTTCGAAACATGAACTTTTTAAATTAGGCAGAAAGTTAGTTTTAAATTAGGCAAGTTATTGCCTCACAAGACAAGCAGTGTACAATATCGGCAAAATAGTATTGCATGTACAAGTAAAAGATGAATCCCGTAGATTATTGTAGTTACGATTAACTACTGTAGTTTAATATTTAAGACTATTTTTTATGAAATTTCATAGTTATTTTAAAGTTTTTCTTGTTTTTGGATAAAAAGAATGGTAATTAAATGTAAAAATGTTTAGATATGTATTTTTAATTTATGGCTATTAGAAACTTTGGTCTGTATTAGCTCAAGAACTAATTATAAAGAAATATAAACTATTAAAAAGCAACAAATTTAGGTAAGATTTCAGTTAATATATCCACCAAAACATCAAATACTTTATACGGTTGAAGACTTTAATAAATATTCCATTATAGGTTTATCTCGCAAAATAGTTCTGAGCAGAATTTAATTGACGCAGTTTTGTTTCGATTAATCAAAATTCCATTTCAGCTTACTATATTCTATTCTATCTAATTACATTTTTGTGTTTCGGATAACAACTCATTAAATAATCGGTGAAGTGTTTTTTACTAAAGTCCAACGTTTTAGTAATTTCAAGTAGAGTTAATAAAATTTCAGTTTAATTTCGTCATGAAAATATTCAAAAGTTGGAAGATTTAATAGTAATTTAACAAAGATAATGGTAAACAAAATCAAACATCAAGTTTTATGATATGGGTGGTATTAACTATATTGTTTCTGCCAAGTCTTTCCTCATTTATTTGACTCGCTTCTTCCAAAAATATGGAACTGAGAGATTAAACGTGGCAGCATTTGAGAAGATAATGACAGTAAGATTAATTAAACAGCTGAAAAGTAACCTTTAGTACCTCCGCGAGAAATTTCACGATATTTTTCACGCTGAAATTATTTATTCATGAGCTCACAAGCGCTTTTAATTGCTTAGAAGGTTTGGTGCAAATTCGATTTAAATTAATTTTATAAAGTTAAAATTTATTTAGGTTTTTTATTGCAAGAGTGCCTAGTAACCGTTTCTTCTACGTTCAGTTTAGTTTTAAATTATGACTGTAAATAATTACGCTAAAATAGTTGTGTTATCATGAGAGAAATCTAGAGTTTTTAATTTTTTACATTTCAAGATAACCTAAATTATGGTTGAAATAAATTATTACTCGCTTTTAAAGCTTTATATCTATAATTAATTACTTGCCGAAAGGGATAAATTTCCAAAAGGCATAGAGTATGGCTATGAAATATTGACGCAAATTCAAAAAAGCATCTGAAGCTTACTTAGAAATGGCACCACTTCCTCTTTGCTGAGATCTACTAGAACTTTCTGGTGGCGACTTGTGATTCTCAAGGGAATCCTCTGTCTGCGGTAAAACAGCGGTTTCTTTAACTTCTGAAGGTTCATCTTCTTTAACTTTTGAAGGTTCATCTTCTTTAACTTCTGAAGGTTCATGTTCTTTAACTTCTGAAGGTTCATCTTCTTTAATGGTTTTTTCTTCTTTCTTTATTTCATCTTCAGTATTATCTGAAATCGCAGTGATGGTACCAGGTATGTCTTGATTGGACATATTTGAACTCCTAGTTCTTAATAGCTGGAAAAGATGAACTAGGTGGCCCTCTGTCTATGCAAAGATTCAGGCCCTTGTAAAATGGCAGCCCTGTTTGTGCAAATGATTGACATCATATCAGGTTTTCAAGATATTATATCTGAAGAGAGAAAAAAAAAAGAATGTAAATTTATTAATTGAAGAACTCTTTACTAAACAAATTTTCAAATAGAAACATATATATATATATATAATTAATGCGAATTCATAACATGAAAAATAAAGTAATTATCCAGATTTGTGACATACTGAGGCCAGATTAAAATCATTAGCTTCAAATTACCAAGAAGAATATATACAGGATACTTTGAAAAGAGGAAGCAGATTTAATTTTCTCACAAAACGTTTTATTTCTTTCAATATAAACATCAATTGACAAAGAAACAAAGAAAAGTTATACTCTCTGTTCAGTTAAGTGCAGAATATTATTTGAAAAAATGTTCCAAACCACTTGATCGCTGAAAAGGCATAAGATGACTATGTATCATGCGCTTGCCTTCCCGTAATTCTAGACATGATCTGCATGATATTTTTCTGAGGATTTGTCAAGAACTCTCTGAATATTCTATCCTTATCCAGCGCATAAAAAGAGCTTTGGCACCGAAATGTTAAAAAAAAAAAAGCTTTCCGCAGCAACTGGGCAATTACAAATTTTGTAACTTATAATTATTTACAGCTTTAACGAACAATTTCGACTTCGAGAGATGCGTACATGGAGTATATAATGCATACAATTAGGTTTCTGTTCCCATCAATTTACATGTGTTGTTACTTATGCTTACTTGTCTGAGAGCAACATCAGATCAAGTCCACGAAATTCCTTTTGGTAAGGAGCTTGAAGATAAGCCTATTGTTGGTAACAGCCTTGAGTACCTCACAGGGGACAGTATGATTTTGCTCAGTTCTGTCCCCCAATTTTGATGGAAAGCCCACCGGGAGGGATGGGTCCGACGGTTTCCCACCCCTCTTCCCTCTCCCCTTCCACCGAACCACACGAGAGGATTTTCGGCTCGCCGCATATTTAGAGCGCCGCCATACTGCACCGACATTAAAAATTTACCAACATCCATGCCTTCTGCGGGACTCGAAACCCGACCTTTCGGCATGGCAGTCAGCGACGTTAATTATTATACCGGTTGGGCGGCTACCAGTTGATATGTAACATGTTTTTGTATTATTATTTATAATTATCTTTGCAAGTAAATTACTTTTGCTTCTGCGTTTGAAACATCTGGTATTATTGATAAGGCACAATATACTAAGAATACGCATAAGCATGCAAAACAATTACATTAACTTAGAGTGTCAGCACACACAGCTGACCATTAAAATTGGTACATCGAGAATAACAACAAAACTGAAATTTGAATAAAAAGGTGGTATTAAACATGGTGGTAATGAAAGCAGTTAGCCTAGCCTTTCACGGCGTTTAAATATTATAAGCTTGAAGGTGTATAAAAATTGCAGTCTGAAATGGTGATTTTTCATTCGGAAATCACGCTTACTTGTTGTTTTCTATGTTGGTAGTATGTTGTGTTTCGTGTAAGAAAAAAAAGCTCATATATCAGCACGCTTCAGAAGTTGGTCGCGGAAGAGTCGCTGCTTACCAGGACTGCGGATGCAGAGCAGTTGCTACTCATGTTTATCGGTGTTATGAAAATTTGCGACAGAAGGCTACAAGAGCATCAGAATGCCCTCCCCCCATCCAACAATACTGGAGTTGACGGACACCTTTTCAGCATCTCTGTTAGATTTGTACAACCACATTACGCACCCTGATTTAGGAAACTGAGTGTGTTGGGCAACCCCAAATAGTAGATGCACTTGCGTACTTTTCAGCAGCTCGACCATTACTTCAGATTTTTTGATGCTACAACACAGAAATCAGCACTTACAACGCTGCGTTTAGTAACGCCCATAGAAGCATTAATGGAGTAGTGATATCTTTCTTACGAATCGCGCATTTACTTACAGCATCATAATGGTTGTATCCATTTGTGGAGACATCCAGACAAGCAGAAGCTGGAAGTTCGCATTTTTTTTTCATCATACTGGGCCAGATTTTGAACTGGTGGTATGGAATGCACATGCCATTGACCTGTACTCCACATACCCGGTACGTTGTTCAACCATCGTTATATTACCAAGGTTTTTAATAACCGTGGTATATTTTTGGTTTTTCTGTCACCCTAATTTACACCAGGATATTAAAAGGCAGCATATTGCCACAGCTATCTAACGTTTCTTCAATACACAGGGCATTCTCAGCTCCCATGTTCTATAAATCTCCCACCAACTGAAAAGGGCCAGCGAATACGACAGGTGAGCGCTGACTTTGAAATAAAGTAACATGAATTGCAGTATTCATAGGTGATATCAAAATTAGGTTCGACTCCATGCCATATGATATTGCTGTCAGAGGCGGATGCTCGGGGTGATTTCTGTAAGTCTGAGCTTCAATAACTTGTAATCTTTAATGAATTCATCCTTTAATTTTAATATATTTTTAGAAAAGGGATTCTGGTAACTGGTTTTGTACATTTTGTAGCAGTTTTAATGTCCATGCTGCATGAATGTAAATAGAAACGCTTCTAAAAATAGCACTTGGGAAATTATGCTATGAAAAACATCGCAGTTCTATGTATTAAGTTCACAACTATGTTATTCTATGCAGAAAATTTCGGATTTCTTTTTCTTTTAATTTGAAGAAGAATGGATCTTTTTCAGTTCCTGTTTCAGGTCCAGTGTTAAACATACTTTTGATCGCAAACTTCTTTAAGTATCTTTACACTGCTGAGCTATTAATGAATTTTGGTATTGCAAGCTGAATTATCAGGTAATTAAAATTTTGCTTTTTGGTATAAAATAAGCCATTATCTCTTCTTTTAGTACTGCATAAGCTGTCAATTAACAATTTTAATTCGACATATTAATTGATTGAAATTTAAATAAGAATTTTCAGAAAAGAGTTTTCAAAATTTATGTAAAGTCCGAATCATTTGGTTTGGGAATTATGAATCTAAAATATGCTATTGTTTATATTAAAATATATTTTAAAGCATAATAAAGAAGTTATAGAGCCATTAGGTCTATCGATACAGGAACGGGAAGATATCCGCGGCTCTCTCGCCGGGGTTTGAACTTCGGACCTTCGAAATGCGCGTAGAGTGTGCTTTCAACGACACCACGAAAACATATGGAAAGGAGAGAGAAAATACCTTACAGAGTTTTAGAAAATAAAGATATATTTCAAACAAGAGATGCAATAAAATTGAAACAAATTGAGGCGAATAGTTTATGTGTAAAAAAGAGCATCTTTTTTATTAATTGAAAGTTCTTCCACAATGAACTATATTCTTCTCTATTATTATAGGACAAAATAAGAAGGGAAAGTTTTTGAATAATGAGTTCATAATCTTGTGCGACCTCATGTTTATCAATCATGAACAGAGATGGAACTAATGATATGCGAAAGGAGAAAATATGTGAAGGAAACTCGGTTAAAAATCTTTGATATATTTTAGATGGTGAAAGTTTTCTTTCGTAAGCACTGAGAAAAACATGGAGTCATCAGCTACGCAAAGATTCAGTGTGAGATTAGAAAGTCTCTCGGCTAGGGCTTAAAGATGAAAATAAGAATATTTTAAACATCAGGGTATTAGCATATTCTTTTTTTTTATTCAAATATCTGGATTCCATTTTCGAGATTAAAATGTTTTGTTGTTCTGGAAATAGCTTTTCTGTATTTTAAACAAGGATTTCTAAAGATAGCGCTGACGGTTACGATTAGGAACATTAACGTTGTTGCAGTTTGCATCCCCACCATACAAAACAATTTCTTTTAATTATGTCTACGAATATATTTAGCATTTAAAACAAAGTTATCATCAGAATTGAAGATGGACACGTACACTTCATGAAATCAAAGGTAATAATTTAAATGATTTTTCTTTGTGTATTTTTTACAATTTCTTTGAATAGTGTATTAACGTCTGGGAAATAAAGAAAAGTTTACAAATAAAATGAAAAACTTAGAAACTGTATACTTGCTCTAGGCAAAAAGGACTCAACAATGCATATATAAGACAGGAAGAAAAGATAAAAAACTATATACCTCAGCAACACATTCAATTTGTTGACCCCCTTTGCTACTTAATCAAGATAAATACTTTGTAAAGTATCTCAATTATGTGATACCTTTTTGCGTTATATCCCGTTTGTTAATACGCATTTAATTCCTTTAGCTAATAATTTTCCTCTTGAGGAATCACTATTCCAAACCGATATAATTTTGAAATATTTGATTTAACTTAAATATAGAAATATGCAAAATTATAATGGAAAAATCAAATCAAACTAAGTAAGATATTAAGCTCTGAAACAGAAATAGCTTACGGAGATTTAAATGTAAGTCTGTTAAGATTAAGATGTAAGTCAATTAAGGTTAAATACTCGCGAAATGATGTAAATATCATGTGATGCTGATAATATGTTGATATGGTTGTCTGCTCGTGGCATTAAAATCAATAAATATTTTTAACGCAATGAACAAGGTAATAGAACTTTATTGTCACTGTCAGATAAATTCGAAAAATTGTAACCTATCTTTTCAGCAAATAAATTGCTCTGCATTTGAAAAATGTGTAGTAAGTGAAAATCGCGTGGCTGTCAGGTGTCAGGTTCTATATTTATAAAAATAATTTTTTTTCTAAACTAATTACGTTCTAACTAGCATATTACGTTTAGAGCATAATTACTAAGAGACGTTAAATACGCCGAATTATACGCCATTATGCGCCGAATTTTGGTTCCTAATCTTGTACCCACCTCTGGTAGTTTATACATACTTATATTACTTTAAAGCTTAAAATATCTTATTTAGGTATGATTTGATTTTTAATAATGACGAGTAATGCAATTCCCTTCATTTTAACCAAAGAAAAAATTTAAATACAATATAGTTGGCGTGAGCTTTATAATATGTAGTCAAATTATGGGACGTACACATATAAAAATGTGCTTATTTTCTTTCCTTGCAATATAGAGTAAAAATGATCAGCATTATATATTTCGACACTTTTTAACAACAATCAATTAATT